AGTATCAGCAGTAGTTTCCCTCTCTGCCTCAGGCCCAGCCGTCGCTTCCCCCTCGGCATCCTGCCACGAAGCAGACCAAGCCCTCCCACCGGAGTGAACGACCTCGCTGGGGAGAGGCCTCCCAGGCCTAGGATCCCGCCAAGATCCAAGCCTCTTACCATAACCAGAAGGATAGGCCAGCCACGCCAGACTCACAGCCTACGGGCAGGTCAGGGGCCTCCCAGCCAACCAAGCCCGTATCACCCTGGCCTTCGCGATTTGAGTTCCTGCTCTCAGAGAATCCGTTTGAGGTTCTGGCCGAAGATTGTAGGCAGGGCCCTTCGGTCCAGAGCCGCCACCAGCAGTCTGAGCCCATCGAGCTTGGTGACACTGAAGCATCAAGCACCAACGCTGAGCCAGCAAAGCAGCAGCGAAGACGTCGGCGAGCTCGCTGAACTGCTACCCGAGTCTCTCCCGAGCTCAAAGGAAAAGAGGTGGTATGCTCAGGTGAAGTGAAAGCTACCCTCTCCTCTCAGTTTCTTCCCCATTATCTCCAGAACTCCTTGTTGTCCCCATGCCAAGGGACTTCAAGCTCCCTCCACTGGACAAGTATGACGGATCCTTCGATCCAAATGATCACGTGGACGCCTTCCAATCCCAGATGCACCTGGCAAGAGCCAGTGAATCTTGCATGTAAGTGGCCTTTTCCACCACCTTTAAAGGGGTAGCCCGCACATGGTACCGTAACCTCGCGCCTGATTCGATAAGAAGCTGGGCGCAGTTCGTGCAAGTTTTCACCTCCCACTTCGTCACCAGCAAAAGGTGCCCGAGAACTTAGGAAAACCGGCATAGTTCAAAAGGAAGGGGAGTCCATTCAGAGTTACATCAAGTGGTTCAACGACGCTTGTTTACAGATACCCGACCTGGATCCCGCAGTTCGTCTCACCGTAGCCAAGTGAGGTATCACCCACAAAGAGTTCAAGTGGCACGTAGTTGTCAATCAACCCAAGACCGTGACCGAGTTCCTCAAGCTCGCAAACCGGTTCATAGGGACAAAGGAGGAAATCAACCAGAAGGGCAAGCAGGCCCCAGAAAAAAGAAAGAGGGAGCCAAAGCCCTCGTCTCAAGGTGACAGCAGGAAGAAGAATGACAGCTCGGGGGACAAGGCCAGTCCATCCCTTCCAAGCTCCAGCAGCAGAAAGGGACTACACGCCCCTCAACACAAAGTGGGCCGAGATCCTCATGGCGATCAAGGATGCTCCGTACGTGAAGTGGCCACCTCGGCTGAAGGCCGACCCTAACGCGAGGAATAAAAATTTGTATTGTAGCTTTCATAAAGATCACGGTAGCCCGCACATGGTACCGTAACCTCGCGCCTGGTTCGATAAGAAGTTGGGCGCAGTTTGTGCAAGTTTTCACCTCCCACTTATAATATATAAATAATATATAATATACATATATTATTTATAATATAATATTTGATATTTATTTTAAACTTTTTATTATATATTTATTTATAATATATATCATAAAAATCAAAAATCAAAAAGTTGATGAACCAATCCAGTAGTTAACCAAATTGATCAATTGATTAACCGATCAACTTTGATCCAATTTTAGTTACCCAATTTTCAAAAACCGATACTACCGATTCGATTTGGGAAATAGGCCCATAATCTGTCTAATTGAACCATGAGCGCTCCTATTGCATTAACTTAAGACGACTCCAATGGTGATCGATAAAGTAGTGAACCCACGAGATAATGGGTTTCAAAACACACCACACCACTTCTACATGTTCTGTTATGCTGTGATGTGGTTTAAAACCCACCTTCTCATGGTGTGGACTACATAGCCTAGAATATTAAGCACACTATTATCTTGTGGTCACAACTGGTGTCCCTCTCCCTATCTAGTACTTTACATGTATGTTAATTCATACAATATTTTTAATTGTTTTTCTTATATATAATTAATAATATTTATATTACCATTACAATTATTATAAATTGGTATTAAAAGT